AAATCAATGTGATGTCATAAAACATTAAGGTATATAGTCCATTTAAAAACCCGTGGTATTGTTCTAAATAACGCCATAGTTGGCTTCTAGGGTACCTAGTATGCCACTATTTGGTATCAAAATAAAGAGGAGGAGTTCAACTTTCATTTGAATTACGAAAATAGCGATGCAGGTCAAAAATAGTTCCGACGTGAGCATGTTTACTACGCGTTTGCCGAACTCCCGTGCAGTGATATATCACTGCGGCGGGCAGCTATCTCACCGTAAGCATGGTACCTTCGTAATAAACAACTGACGTCCGTGATTGGTTCTAGTCCCATGCTCAGGTCGCGTGATCGTAAAATTTAGACAATTTCATTGGTTGAATTGCGCGTATTAACTAATAAACAACACGTGCGGTAAACTATTATCAACACAACCATCAACCATTGGTTAAATCATTAATGATGTCACAATTTGGATATATAATACAGGCGTTCATATTACCGGGAGATTTCCTTAACCGTCTTAATACACTGTTTTACAAGTACATCTGGAGTAAAAGTGGTTTTAAAGAATGTGAAATTAAGAAACAACCGGAGAAAATTAAAAGAGAGATTTTAAATTTAGATAAGGAAAATGGTGGTCTAAACATGATAAATATGAAAGACTTTCAAATCTCATTTGTGGTAAAATGGCTTTCAAAACTGATTGGTGAGGGCATGGATAAATGGAAAATAATTCCAAAAGCCGAATTTTCCAAGTTAGGGGTTAATTTCAATGTACTCAAAAGCAAGATAGATATGGAAAACTTTATAAGGATTAATGAAGTAAAGAGTTTTTGGAAAAGGGGGTTAGAAATTTGGTTAACAAAATCTGAAAATAAAAATCTTTTAGATTGTGACATCATTTGGAACAATCTGGACATAACTTTTCAAAAACGAGTTCTTTATGACAAAAAATGGATTAGAGGGGGGATTAATTATGTGTCTGATTTTATAATAGAAGGTAAATGTTTAACATATAATGAAATAATTAATAAATTAGGTAGATGCCCAGATGTTTATATGCAATATATACAAGTAAGAGCAATTTTGATAAAATATCCAAATAAAATTAATAGGAATGAAAAAAGAAAGAAAATTGTTAGTAGAAAGGGGGTGACAAATAAATCAGAAGCACATTGGAAAAATCAATATGGTGAGATCCCATTTAAGTTAATGTATAGAGTACTATTTAAGACAAATGTAAATCATAAGGTAAAGGAATTCATATATAAAGTAATAAATGGTGCAATAGAAATTGAAAGAAGATTGAAAAACAAAAATTATCTGATGGAATGTGTAAAGTTTGTAAAAATGTTGAGGAATCACAAGAACACCTTTTTTTAGAGTGTAAATTCAAAAATGAATGGGATAATTTAGAAATTACTAATTTAATTGAAAGAGATAAAATGCTTTTTTACTTTAGAGAAGATAGCTCATTAGAAAACATGATATAGATTAATAGTGAAATTTTTATTATTAAACGGAAAATATGGTTAAAAAGATGTTTAGAAATTTTTAATTAAGAAAATGTATTTAGATTTTAAACTATATACTCAGGGACCCAAGTTCTGAGAAACAGCTAGAAAGTGAAAATGGATATTGGAAAGTATTACGCGAGATTTTTTCAGTTCTTGTTGGAAAATAAGTTACTTTTATGATGTGGGGTGATATCTAGAGTTTGAGACTTGCGAAAATAAGATATCTTCATCTTTATACCCCCGCCCTATACTTTTAGGGGGGGGGGGTCAGAAGAAAATAGACTTTAATTCATAACTTTGGAAGTATATGAGATACAAACTTAATTTTTTCACCACAATTTATGAAATAATATCAGTAATGAAGAAAAAAATATTTTGAATGAAAAAAAGCTAATTTGCATAATTTAACCCTTAAACTGCCATAAAAACTGGTAAATGACGAAATGATGTTATATCACATTTACTGTTATTGCCTTCATATGAAGTTATAACTTATGAAATAATTCCTAAAAATATATATATGTATAATAAATGTGCAAAATATTAGAAGTGTATCTTACATAAAGACTGTGAAAAAATTCTCCCCCTATCCAGATTTTTGAGGGGAGGGGGTCAAATAAAAATGGACTTTATTTCATAATTTTAAAAGTATATGAGGTACAAACTTAATTTTTTCCCCAAAGTTTATGTTATAACATCAGTAATTCAGAAAAAATATTTTTGATACGCAAATAAGCTAATTTGCATAATTTAACCCTTATACAATCATAAAAACTGTTAAATGACGATGCGATAAAATACGACATTTACTCTAATTGACCTCTCATGAAGTTTTAACAAATAAAGTAATTCCTAAAAATGCATCTATATATGTATAACAGATGTGCAAAATTTTAAAAGTGTATCTTACATAACGACGCTGAACAAAAATTGTCCCCCTACCCAGATATTTGAGGGGAGTCAAATGGAAATGCACTTTAATTCATAACTTTGGAAGTATATGAGGTACAAACTTAATTCTTTCACCAAAATTTATGTTATAACGTCAGTAATTCGGACGAAATATCTTGATATGAAAATAAGCTAATTTGCATAATTTAACCCTTATACGAGGGTTGTCCCAGAAGTAATTCACTGTATGCTCTAACTTTATCAACAATTAATATTTTTCTATGAAATTTTCAGTAAATGTTCCTTAGAGACATTTTGATTATTCTACAAATTTTCATGTTGACTGATAAAACTATATTGATGTTATAATAAAATCAAGTTGGTGAGTTTGGGTAGGGTGGGGCAGGTTATACAGTCACATCAAAAGGAATAATAAATTGAAAATATGAAATAATTAATCAACAAATACCATTTGATGCAGCTATAAGAAGTATGCTCAAAAATACATTTTAAGATACTAAATTACTATGAGCATATCCTAGATTTAATGGATGTATATTGCACGGTGTCCCATTTCACATTTTCTCAAAATATTGCCCTTTGCATGTTATGTACTTTTGATGCCTGTCAGGTCAAACACTCTCGGCAATTTCTTCCACTGTGACTTGTGGAGTTTTTGCCTCCCATGTTTGGAGTTGTCATACAGGGTCAAATCGTCTCTTTTAAATCTCTTCTGCCACCCCATAATTGTAGTTCTATCTGGTATAGATTCCTTATATACTTTCTTCATGGTAGCATTGTTTTGCGTGGCTGTGGGTCCAAGTGAAGTATGAATTTAGGCCACCAAACGCAAGACCTTCTGTTATCAGGTGAGAATTGCAGCCATTTTTGTAATTTCTTGACTGTGACTGTATTTGAATTCGTGACTATTGAAATGTGGTATTATGACATCACAGTGCTAAATGTCATTATTCGATCGTACTTGGTTAACATCATGCTGAATAAATTTAACAATTTTCCAAACATTTTGACCATTCAAAGGAAAGAAATATTAATAGAATAACCCTCTAGATTTTTTCATAATTAGAAAAATTGGTACCTGCCCCGCCCACCCCTGCCCCAAGTTGTTATAGCAACCATATTAAGACTTAATATTAATGTTGAGCATATAGTGCATTACTTCTGGGACAACCCTCGTACAGTCATAAAAAACGTTAAATGACAAAGTGATGAAATACGAAATTTACTTTAATTGACTTCTATGAAGTTATAACTTGTGAAATAATTCCTAGAAATACATTTACAACGGGTATGCACAATATAAAAAGGGTATTGTATATAATGAGTGTGAAAAAATCTCACACCCTACCCTAATATTTTAGGGTTGGGGGAAGTTAAAAGAAAATAATAAACTTTGATTCATAACTTTGAAATCGTATAAGAAAGAGCTTATACATGTATTTCTTCGCCAGAATATTGAGAAATCACATCAAGAATGAAACAAATATTACATGGAAACAATATTCAATTCAATTCAATTATTTATTTCATAATTCTTATATAATATACACTATAAAAAACAAGCCGCTAGACACCCTAGTGGGTATATGTTGCGGTTTAACAGAAATCATTAAAATGACAACTAGACTACATATAAAAGAAAACACTTATATTACACCCTATGCAGACAGAGCCTGTGGGAAATATTGGGTGCGGAGCAAATGAGCGGAGGGTGCGGAGCTAACGGTCATTTTTGAATTTAAATTTGGGATATTTCTGAAACTAAGCCGTTTTGGGACTTCAAATATACCAAGATATGTGTATTTGACACCAAATATCAATACAATTGTGAAAAAAGTAGTGCAATTCATTCTATAGCGACGCAATATGCCTTAAACCTTTCCCAGACTTATATATTTTGAAATTATTCTTTTTATACTGCGTCCCCAGCATTTATAAAAAATGGTGTTCAAGATACACTATCCATACAAATTATTTTTGCATCTTGGAAGCCAGGCAGTATCTGTGTGATTTTATAAAAATTAGGAAATGTTCTTCAGATATGAGCCCCCTCTAAATATTGGGTGCGGAGCAGCTCACTAAACGTAATAACTTTATCCTTTGATGATAGCATGATAGTTGGTGTTGTGAGAGTGCTTGGACCACGTCAACTGCTTCATCCCACTTCTATACATTCTAAGAAATACGTTTTTATGTTTGTGGCAAAAAGCACGTTAAACTGATGACGTGGAACGTACTATAATGTCACGTAGATTATCAGGCTATCACGAACAATATGCATGCTCATCACCTGCCGTATTGATAATTCTTATTTCAAATGATGCTTAGATATCCCATTTGCACTAATCTCTATCATTATAAAAAGTTGTTATTGTCAAAACATCTTTTAGTTCTTAAACTAGATATAACAGACTGACAGAATGAGGGCGTGATTTATTCATCATACGTATTGGTATGTTGGTCAACAATGGGTATAAGATTGGTATTGCTTTTTATGTAACATGCAGGGGAGCATTTTTACTTTAACCAGCAGCTTACAAAAGACATAAAATGTTTCACAGTGACAAAAATAACAGTAGAAACTCATACTTTAAATTCATTAATGTTTATTGAATGTAAACAAACACACGTATAATATCCAATAATGTAAAATACGAATGAAATCAACACGTGTCTCCTAACATGGAAAGTTCTCGCATTTGAAGAAAATAGTATTGCCATGGATACATCAAAAGGTCAAGGTGCGCGTATTTCAGATAACTTGAACGCGGACGTGTAATAGTTCGGCCATCATTTATTGTTGTTCAGGTAGCGTTGTACATATCCCAATTGGTTTATAATACAGGGGCCTGATTCTACTAATTAAACTAATCCTTGGACGACAATGATTTTACACGTTCACGTACAGGTTCGATCGCAAACGTATATCTTAACCTCCATATTGTTTAATAAAAGAGGCGTAAACAAGTGAACATTCGACAGATTCCGACAGCAGTTTCATTTTAAGTCGTTTGCCTAACTAGCATATTGAAATTGTTACACTCTTTATTGCATGGATATCATTTTTGTTTCAATGTGTGCAAACACACTCCGTTCTATAGTATCAGTTATAATACAATTAATACAATGTAACTCATGAACAGCAAAATTAAATAACAAACTCTTCTATGTAAAACAAAAAAGAACGACATCTGTAATAAGAACAAAGTGAATATTACATGTATATGATCTTGGCACCTTTGCAAAGCTGAATATTAATGGCCTTTGTATGACACAAAACTAAAATATATGTTATCAATATGACGCCTTTAAATCGACGTAGTTCGTTGTCATGTTTAGCTAAGGTTTAAAACATAACTGTTACGAATGTCATGTTTTATGAGTTAATTTTTCATGTCTTTTAAGATTACGAATAACTTTAAACTTTTTCTTGCAGACATTACATTCGTATCTTTTTTTGCCGTGGACATCTCGCATGTGATCTTTCAGTTTTCCTGATGTCTTAAAGGCTGTTTTACATATACCACAATCAAATGATCTCTTTTTACCATTGCATGACCGTTCATGAGTAAGTCTTGCGTTGTCATAGTGGAACTTGGAATCACATAATTTACATGTGTATGGTTTAAAATCTTTGTGTTTTTGTTGATGAGTTATAAACTTATCTTTTCTATTGAAAATTTTGTTACAATCGGCACAGTGGTATTTCTTATTGTCATTACTTAAATGTTTATCATCTGTATGTCTTTTCAGGGAGCGCTTTGTTGCAAATGAACTGGTGCATTTATCACACAAATGCCGCTCGTTTGCATGAGCTGCTGCTAGATGTTCATCCAAATCATATTCATTTCTGTATCGTTTTGAGCAAACATCACACAAATGATATGTATGTTTATCATGGGTTTTTGAATGCCTGACTAGATTTCGACGGTATATAGAAATAAATGGGCAGATGGTACATGCGTATGGTTTTTTTTGTCGAGTGCCCTTCGTCTCCGCAACTTTAACGCCAGACACGCTTGCCTCGTCCAGTGTCCTCTCCCCAAGACTTATGTGTGATACATCGAGGTCCAAAATGGAACCGTCCACAGCTTGTACATCGATCACATCTAAAAATGACGATATTACGTTTAACCCAGTTTGTTGGGTACATGTGTACGCACACTGACCAAGTAAAGATCGAGACCAAGTAAAAACGAATTCTTAATGATGTGTTACATTGGGATATGGCTCGATTTAGTATTGAGGCACAAAAAGAGGGCTGTTCAATAAATACTTAAACAAATGCTCAAGGTTTCAGTCGTGTTTATTGGGGAACCAAGCTGAATTTCACTTAAGGTTTCTTGCCGATTTCCCCTAGAAAGTTAAAATGACAGCATTTGTCTCAGAATAAATTAGACAACCCTCGTATAATCCCTTTGTATCATTTCTATTAATGCGCTCAATAAACAAATGTGTGAAATCTAAAACGAAGAGTCTACATTCAGGAACGTAGGTAGGATGATGAAAATAACATTTTTACCTTAGGTTAGACCGGGGGTCGGACAAAGGGAAAAAATGCAACTCTTTACAGCCCCCCCCTCGTCCCCTTCAATCAATCAAGACTGATGCAATTTACTGAAATGCCTTAGTTTTGAATTACTATGTGTTGGATTATATTTGAATGAAAACAAGAATAAACAATTTTGATATATATAACTGATAGGTTAACTTACCACACGGAATAGACTCATTTACAGAGTTTACTTGCCGAGCTGTCATTGTTTCGATATGACGAGGATAGGTGAACAAAGCGCGAACTTGATCAGGACCGACTATTTTCTACATGACGTCAAAAAGTTTAAAAAAAAATATTTTTGAAATAAATATTTGAAATTGGAAAAAATATCATTGGCGTGTTTTATATAAGATGTGTGGTGACTCTATTTTAATTATTCCTCAAATCCTAAAGCGGTTTTAAGATCCATGAAATAAACAGATTGACTGGTTTCTGTACAAATTGATCAGTAAAACTCCCGCGAAATTTACCTGTCCCGACTTCCTGTACAAGAGTACACTTAACAGTACATGGTCGCACAAACTTCAAGACGAAAGTGAATATGGACTCAAAGGCTGACTCAAACATCACCAAAAGTCATCAAAGGTAATTTAATATGTACACAATTATATTCATGTATGAGCACGAAGGGGATTCCATTGAGTACTTATACTGTTATGAAGGCACGGTGGGTGGGTGGGGGGGGGGGGGGCTAGAGGACTTTAGCATATACATGTACATATGAGAATGAACGGGTTGTGGTACTGTGAAGATTTGCATTGGGGATTATGCACATAATTACCAATTTTGGATATCTTAGGACGTCAATGTGGGTCAGTTTTTCACCGAAAAGCTCATGTACATGTAGGTCCCATCTAAAATGAGCATCCTAGGTCTCATTGGGGCGAACAAATCCCTAAAACTGTGTTTACTTTTTGAAATGGGTCTTGTTGGAAATAAATTGTCCAAAGTGGATGTGTGTTTGTAAGAAAATTAAATGTGGGTCCAATTTTAGAGAGAAACTAGACTAGGGTCCCATTTTGAAACAAAAATTCGGAGATGTGGGTCCCATTTGTGTAAAAAAATACTTTTGAAAATCCTAGAAGTGGGTTTTGTTTTTGAATATTTCAAAAGCGGGTCTGTGTCTGAAAGAAAAATCCCGAGATGTGGGTCCGATTTGTGTAAAAAAACTCCTTAGAACCGGTGTGAAAGAAATTATGGTCCCCTGGGGATTGTGGTCCCCTTAAAGGCCCTTGCTGGCCCTGATTGTGTGTAAATAATAAGGAAAATAATTGTAATTAGGTCACCATATAAATCAATAGAGAGTATAGGACCATATTATATTAATTTGATAGGACCACCTACCCTTTTACACATTGTCTTTAATTTGAAAATCTGAGAAGTGGGTCTTTGTTTTTGAAAATAAATTCAAAAGTGGGTCTGTGCTCGAAAGATACTCCCTAGATGTGGGTTCATTCTTAGAGAAAAAGATAGAATGTGGGTGTGGATATTTTGAGTCTTAGCGCCCCCCCCCCCCTACCAACAAAAAATTTACAAATACCGATTTAAACCGACGTGTATAGTAGCAGAAGTATCGCCTACCTTCTAAGGTTCATAAGTAAAAAGGGCTTTTACGGAAATTTAAGTTTTTTCTTCAATATAGTATACAGAGGGGCAGGACTTGTGTTACATAAATAATGAAATTTCGAGGGATGTTTTTTTCCCAGATCATAGACCGGGGTACCAGGGATGTATTGCGGACAATAATTTCTATAATGAATAAAAGCAATGAAACAATTCTTGGACTTTTCTGACACACTTGTAGAAATTGCCCCAACTGGATCCTTTATCCTCGCTACTTAGGACAATTTATTCCCGGGGTATTGTCCGTCGGTCCAAATTTCTGAGCGTGAGTTTTATCGTTTTATCATGGCCCAACTTCCGCGAGAAGAATTTTGATAGCTTTTTTGTTTTCTTGATTTGAATGTCAAAAGTTTCTTCTGCAATATGTCAACAACGTATAAAAAGGTTTGGATATGAAATGCGATAAAGTGTAAAACCACAATCCCATGTTATTTTCCCATAGGGAGAACTCATGCTATCCATTGTTTTCAGCATAATTTTGGTCATCGAAAATCGATATCTTTAAAACTAGAATTTTAATACCATTCACCCATTGAACAAGTTTAAGACCCATTGTAATCCCAACGAACGAAATACTTTGGGATATAGTTAAGCCCTCCGTCGGCGCGTCAGTTCGTCCGTCCGTCTGTCCGTCCCGAAGATAACTTTAATACAAGTCGACGGATTTTCTTCATATTTAGTGAATTTATGGTGAATAGTTGTACACAAAAAAAGTTTTCAAGATGGCCGCCGCCCTGAAAAATGGCGGGAATTCTTAGCAAGAATCACAAGTTTTTTATTGGAAAGCAATATAGTAAATATTATCGTTTGAAAATTTGGAAGTATAAGGAAATGAAGGAAATGTAGAGTAGATCACGATTGTCGTATAGTATTGTTTCTTCTGATTCATGTCTCAGAAAAAATCAAAATGGCTGCCTTGGGTGAGAATTGGTTATAATTTAGAGATCTCTTCAAAGTATGGTTACATTTAAAGTTACCTGTCTGTATTTTTATTTGGAAATCAAGGGTAGAGTGGATGGTAAATATAATATCGGACATTTACAGATAAATGGAGATTTTGTTCGTTGTGATTTGCTACTCCGTGGAGTTGCCATTTTCTAGTTGTACACGTATAATCTTTTAATTGAATAAAAATGAACAAAATAACATCCTCTTTTAAATTAATATAATTTTTAACTGTTTAAATGTTTTTCAGTGAGAATGCAACATATCTGCTGGAAGGTTACATGTGCAACTTTTGCTCATTTAAATGTCGAGAATTTCAAACTATAATAGAACATTGTGTTGAAAATCACAAACACTACGAAATAAAAATTAAAAGAATTGAAAAAAGATCATCAGACTATAGACTAGTTTCCAGAACTATGAAGGGAATTGTTCCAAATGAAATTGCTATTGGTGGCTGTGTGATCAAAGTAGATAGTTCCAATCAGGAAACTATAACTATTGTCAAGATTGCAGAGCAACCTGAAAAAAGATCGAAAATGTCCTCCGCGACCCCTACCAAACTACTAGAGACTGAGCCTAATTTACATAAAAATATTAAAGTTAATGCGTCATCTAAAACATCCCTTGATTTCTCAAGCAGTTCCCAAATATTTGAGTGCCAAGAACGTGGTAAAGTAAATGATGTGAACAGTGATATGCCTATTACACCTTGTTCGTTAGGATGTCCATTCCCAGAGAACCAAACTGGTTGCAGCAATCATATTGAATCAGACGACCAATCAGAAATGAATGAAACGTCGTCGAACATTGAGCAAGATTATGAAGTAACTATTGAAGACGTTCACGATAATGAAGAAAGTGATCGAGATGATCTGGCTGGTGGAATCGATTTTGAACCTGATGACCAAGGTGATGGAATGAATCCAATATCTGGGTTTCAAGGTGAATTGAATGATATAGACGATGGTCCAAATGTGCCCAATATGAATGAAAATGAAATGTATGACGAAATAAATAAACTGTTACCAGAAGTTATAGCTAACTTAGCGAGAGAAGGGGTTTTGACATCAGTTTACAAGTTCATAAAACTGGTAGCAGATGGAGAATTTCCCATTGAAAATATGGCGTTTCTGTGCTTCCTGGATGTTGTCGAATGGTATAGTCACGATAGTACAACACGGATGCGATACAAATATCCATCAACTACCAAATTCTGGAGAATCGGTTGGCGATTATTTAAAGGAAAGTATATGCGATTCATGGCTGGTACAAAAAATAAGGGAACTGGGAGTCTTGATCCAAAGAGCAGTAAAATTAATTTTGCCGTTCCAAACAGAGATGTCTTAAAAGATACAGAAATGGAACCAATGACACCTGGGATTATGGATAACATGATAAAAGTGATGGCTCAACTTGATACTGGACTAACGTACAAATGCGTTATTGACGGCAAGAAAATTGCAAGAGGAAAGGGAAGGCAAATGGGCGATATTGATTTGTGGGGGTTCGAATCACCACCAACCTTAGCTGAACGGGTTGCAGCAAGAGAATTCCTCGATGAACGCATTCAGATGTTGATGAATAAGACCGAAAATTTACTTATCAAAGGTAAGAAAAGTACAGACCATTTACTTGACGAAGAGTCGAAAGAACTATTGGATCATCTCAAAATAGTATCTAGTGAATTGAACTTAAGACTTAAGGACCTTCGGCAAGCCAAGGTGGCAATTGAAAGATCTTTAAAAAGATTGAAGGATAACTCCGGACCCGATTGGAGAAAATCGAAATACGTATTTGTTATCAGTTCTCTAGAAACAAGCAAATACACTATCAACAACGTGATAAATCAAATCGTACAACGCAATGACAAATTGTATGAGACAATGAGTATATTGAACAAAAATGGTATAACATTCAGTACATCAGACTATGTGAACATGAATGAGCAGCAAAACTACCACGAACTGCGTGAAGACTGTTACTTGGTGATACCCGATAATGAGTATACTGACCACGTACTAGTTAAACAGAGGAGTGATAGATGGTTCAACATTCGCAAAGAAGCAAAGGTGACTGGCAGCACTATGCACAACGCTATCGGTTTAGACACGCTGAAAAAACAGAGAGCGCACTACGACAAGGTCATACATGGAAAAGAAGAGGACAAGCAGATAAATGAACAAACACGAAGAAATATGGAATATGGCACAAAAAATGAAATAAACGCTGTTGCAACATTAACCAGTAAAATACTACCAGTACTATTGCCAGATCTATCATATGCCGAGGAAGGATGTTACAAGATCACAATGAACAATGAAACCTTTCTAGTTGTGAGTCCAGATGGGAAACTCTTTGAAAATCCGAGTGATGTGACGGCAATTGAAGAGAGTAAAACTAAGGTATCGATAGAAATCAAGTGCAAACCACAAAAGGAACTTATGGAACCTGTAGCGTATACTGTTTATGACTGTTATATACCCCAATGTCTCGCGGAGATGAATGCACAAGAATCAGACCGACTACTCTTTATTTGTTACAGTGAGGAAACGACCACATGTTTCATGATGAAGTACAGTGATTCCCTATGGGACCTTATGAAAAACGAATGCGTTGCAATATATGGCGGTAACCAGACGAGTAGACCATCGAAGAAGACTGACTCATCGAAGAAGATCAAAGAAGAAATCAAAATATTCAAAGAAAACAACGTAGAATACATGGGTGAGTTTAAATCCGTGAAGGCGTATGACGACCACGATCATGGCTCTGAATCAGATTCAACATGTCCATACAAGAAAAAACGCAAAAGTTATGTACCAAAGAAAAGTACTACAACCCTCGAAGAGCTCAAAACAAACCTACATGATGTCATGTCGATGGTGAATGAAATATATGAAGCGACCAGACAAACTGCAACCGAGTTGCTTGCTTTTCTACTGTGCGACATGGATCGCATTACATCATCAGAACAAACAAATTCAACCCTAGTAGCATATGCAATGAAAGGTAGCAGCATGCGCACAAACGTTATGAGAGACATGGTCGATTCTGTCTTTTATAAATGCCAAAAACAGGGGCTGTATATGCCTATCGTAACATATGATGGTCAATGGCTCCCCCTTGCCATTAGAACTAGAGATGGGCGGCCACTGACGTTGATGCAAATGCAAAAAGACCACTACTCCAAAGTCAGAAAACTAAAGGCGAATGACATAATCAAGAACGCATTTAAGAATGAAACTTACATAGCAAAGCATTTGGAATGTAAAACATATTTCATGGAGGCAATATCCATAAACTCATATGTGGATGACAACTACAAATCAAAGCAGACAACCATTTCATTGCATCACATGAATCAAATAATTCAATGGAAAAAACAAAAAGGAACAAGTAATATTAACAAAGAACCAAGTGTGGTCGAAAATTCTGAATCAGGAGAAGACACAAATGTCGATGATATAGATATACTGGAACACATACCAGATGCTGTCTTACAAAAACTCGACGATGATGTAAAAAATCAAGTTATAAATCTTTTAAAGGGAAAAAATGCAGCATGTTCAACACAAATAGAGCTTTCTGATGTTCTCGAACCTGATGAATCATTGGCGGAAGCTGTTGCCCAAATAGAAGCGTCAACAGTATTTGAAGACAAAGTACATGGGGAGAGTAATGGCGAAGCAAGGCCTACAATTACACTCGATGATTGTGATTACTACGAAATGATAAAATCATTGCAACACGAAGATAAGACAAATAAAAAATGGATTTCAGAAAACAAAGAAAGTCTTCAATCAAAAATGGAAACTGCTACCGACATCAATAAACAATTCACACTTGGTGAACTGAAATCTTGCTTCAAAGCCATTAAATGTGTATTAGAGAAAGGGAATGTAGAACACAGGATTGGGTGTTACAGATACAAGTGGCAACTTGTCAATTTGTTCTCTTCCATTTGTGGAAATGGAACAACACTCCAGACGCCTTCATCTAAGCGTGGTCGTATTCATCAACCGAAATCGTTAAAAACTCAGTGTATAGAATTTTTTAAATCAGTTCCGAAGTCGATATTGTGCAATATATATGCGGAAAATACATGGCCACAAATTGAGCACGAATGGAGAAGTGGATTTGTGATAAATGATGACGTAAAAATCACCAATGGATTAGACATTGGGCGGTGGTATTCGCAACCTGATATGGCACCTGACGATAGTCATCCAATGTTCCATTTATGGGACTTTAGCCATCTACTTGTTAACTTGAGATCTAAGATATGCCTTACTGGTTTACCAGAGTCCGGTATAAACAGGACTGCTTGGATCGAAGCCTCACGGAGTAAAGCAACTAAATTAAATAGAGCTACAGTTGAGGACTGTTTCGAGAAACAAGATGTTGGGTTCGCCAAATCAATGTTCGAGACAGATGTGGAAGATTTCTTACTCGAGAGAGGCTTTATTGCAGAGGCAGAGTTTTGCAATATAGTGAGGGGATGGTATCACGCCGAAGATGAGCCAGGTACTTCAACAATTAGTCATATTTTATAAACATGTTATAAGAATAATGCACTCCCCTCCAAATGTTTGGCAACCCTTTTCCCCCAATTAAGGGCGTATTTGAAGTATTTTAAGTTTTTTTAATTCTTGAAACATGATTTAGTTAGCGTTAGCTAACGGTTCATTTATATTCGCATACCTTTGGCAAATCTGCATAATGTCCTGTGGGGCCAATTATCGTACATAAATCAATAGAGACGTGAAATGACATACATTTATTAAAAGTCAATCAAAAGGGTCATCATATTTTAATACATATCGTAAATAAGGCCACAATATCATTAACGTACAAATTGAGGCGTTCACTATGTCCCCCAAACGTTAATTTGTCATAGGAAAAACCAACCCCAAATTATCCTAAAACCATGACATTGGTTCCACACACCAGTTTTTATAAAACAGAAATTAAGATGGTAAATTGAAAACTTCAACGTAGACATCTACGAGTATAAAATGAGTAAACACAGAATTCAGTGACAAGAGTCCGAATACTTCCACAAGCGTCCAACCAGATCAAATTATATCGGCAAAAATACTCGTGAAAAAAAGAGGAATAACATGGGCTTTCAAGAAATACTGAAAGCCCATAATTTTAATGAATCATAAATAATATGTATAAAATTAAAAAATGTGCTTATTGGTTACTTTCTGAAAAGATACCATCTTTATATTAATAAAACATAACAGGTGACCATTTCCGTACAAGTTGTATTATTATTAAATTATAATTGCAGGAATCCCAGCGATAAAAAGAGTGGAAAGCCGACTGAAGCTGCGGAATTGGCTGTTAGGGTTATGGGATAGTACAGTATTCCCTCCTCCTGGCTCACACGTCAAATCGTTTCCTATACAGATGTACGAAGGTTTTCTCACATCCATAGAACGGAAGATACAAATGTTTCCCTTTATATCTCGAGGAAGTTACAACTCGAGAGCTTCAGGGAGTTTGGAAGTGGAACAATTTTTCCAAACATTTGGTGATCTTGACCCAACTGGAAAGGGAATCCTAAAACCAGACGTTATTCCTAGAGCACTTGCAACGTCTTGTGAGATAGAGATGGATAGAGTTGACCCTGCAAGGTAGGTTGCCAAAGTGATAGAATAATGGCATTTTGTGTTGTCAGAAATATTGCACTGCTTGTCAATTGTTTTTTCTTGTTGTTTCTTTCATAAATACAATTATTCCCTGGAAAAAACACAATAAAGGACTATTTATTAACGGGCTAACTGTAAAATATATTCTATTTTCAGGACATTCTGTATGAAAACGTCAGCCCGGTCTGTCTACCCTACCCATCCCCTGTTTGACAGAGATAAGAATTTGAGTGATGACACAATTCCTGCAGGGTGGACGCCACCAGCACATGTGGAGACTATAGATATAAGGTACATACCACACTTTTTATCGCACCCTTAGGTGCTATATTGTGATCAGTTTGCCGGGCGGACGAGCGGGTGTTCGGGCGGGCGGACGAGCGATCAGTCAATCAACCAGGAATCGGGCTGTTTTATTATATTTCATTGCTCCTCTGTAGTCTTCTTTAAACATCTTTTCCATTGCTGTGTATTCGTATGCATATAGATATAGGTTAGCCATATATGGTGCTGGGTCTATCCCAATCGGTATTCCGAGTTTTTTGTTGCATTATTTTATTTCCAGCTTTAAAATATGCATTATCCACTACTGAAATCCACTAGTTCAAAGCAACGTTGAAATTTCAGGGATGTTTCTACATATCAAAGTTAAGAATTGATTAGTTTTTCGGCATTCTGGGTACATTTTAAGGTGGCAAAGCCTGTCTACAGGTTTCCAGCCAAACTATTTTATGGATTCATTTGAAATTTTCAGAGATGTCTCTAGTTGTGAAAGGTTAGAACTGATTTGTTTTTGGGCATTCTGGGTATATGTTAGGCGACCATTTTGAATTTTCCGTCCTGCAAACTATTCTATTGAAGGGTGCTATTCTGTTCACCCTGTGTCTTGTTACATACTTTAATTTAACAGTGTTTCCATTTTGAATACATCGATACTCACCATGTCATGTATTCCATTTGTTTTCAGGGACCATTTCTTTGATAGTCCAACAAGATTGGGAAAAAACATTCGTAAGAGGAAACGTGGGATCGTCTCAAAGCCAGATGCTCCAGCAAGAAGGAGTAATCCAATTAGACGCGATTTCTACCGTGGAGATCAAAGTAAACTTACAGCAGACAAGCGTGCTGGAATTTTGCTTTGAAAAGCGAATGTGATTTTTGATAAACGTACATTATCAACACGTATAACATCTTAAAATGAATTTGATCATTTACTGAAAGAAAATATCATAAACCCTGAAACTAATACTAACGGTATAAAAATACGAATAAGACATCCAAAAACTCCCAAATCCAAGGAAGAATTTGAAAAGCAATAAGTGAGCTCGCAAAGTCGTAACATTGCATAATCATTAGGCGTACATTTTATTTATTACAGAACACTGGATTATTGGAACACCAGATGAACATTATATGTGTTGCAAAAGTATCACACCAAACAAGTTCTTAGCCGTTCTTGCCAGTCTTACGAAAACGTCGTAAAACGGGCTCAACATGGCTCTGGTCGGGAAATATGTCTAAAATAATTAGCTACTTCGTTCATAAACAGTCTTCAATACGTTCTTAATCATTGCAAACCTGTTTGCAATTAGTTCTGCCTCGTTCTCAATACGTCCTCAAACAGTTGAACTCGTTGCAAAAGCGTCGCTACTAGGATTGAAGTACGACAGTTCCGTTCGTAGTGCGTCCAGCTCGCTGTTAGTACGTTGTCACTCGTTCTAATTGCAGAACGTGACGACCACGAGAAAATTTTGAGCATGTTCTAAGTTCTAGAGGACACACCCGCTCGAGTGTGTTCAATGAAGTTTGTAAATAGACCCCAAACTGTTCCAAGTACGTCCAATCCGTTCGTACACAGTTTAAGCCCGTTTTCGAGAACGTAGTGAGAACTAGTTTGGTGTGATAGTAGGGTAAAATAGTATTTTCCAGTCCTATGAAAAAGGCGTAAAACGGGCTAAATCTGGCTGCGATCGGGAAATATGCCAAAACTAATTAGCTACTTCGTTCATCATGTTCATAAACAGTCTTCAATATGTCCATCTCATTCGCAGTTCGTTCAGATCGAACAGACGTACTGCAATTCATATCCTATTTCAAAACGTCATATAACATTCTCTTAGTAGGATCGAAGTATTACGTTCCTTGTCTAGTAGGTCATTTCGTTTGAAGTACGATGTCACACGATATTATGATTATAGAACGGCATGGTCGCAATCGAATTTTAAAATGATTCAAATTCTAATCACCTTCCCGTCCGAGCACATTCATGAAGTTCGTAAATAGACGTGAGAACGTTGCAGCTACGTTCATTCCGTCCGCACACAGTTTAAAACCACTTTGGCAACGTTTTGAATATCGCTGAAGCAACTAGTTTGGTGTGATAGCTAGATTTATTCTAACTTGTTCATAAGCAGTCGTTAATACGTTCTCAGTATGTCCTGACAGTTCAAGTCATTGTAACAACGTCTCTAGTGGGATTGAAGTACGACAGTTCTTTTCATAGTACGTCCACGAGCAAATTTTAATCATGTACGTTCATGAAGTTTGTAAATAGACTCTGGATGGTTCTTAGTACGTCCAATACGTTCGCATACAGTTTAAGCCCGTTTTCCAGAACGTAGTGAGAACTTGTTTGGTGTGATAGTAGGGTTAGGTCTAAAATGAATTACGTTCCTTATTATTATACTGGTAAACATTTGCACGTTTTTTCAAACTACATATATGATTCTGCCACTCTTGACAATAAGGTCAAGAGTCATTTCCCATGTGCTTTACCTGGAGACAGTTATGAAGATCTGTGGCCTCAGTCATTGCTTTGTATTGATAGATATTTTCTGGTATTTCATATTTCGCTAGAGATTTTTAGTACAAACGCCTTGTAATGTAGTCTTGTACTGAACGTAAACAATAAATTAGATTACATTAGGCCAACTGGCACACAACAATGCAATGTTATGATATCATGATATAAGTGGTTTAGACATTTTATTTTAAGTTGATCTTCAACTTTGCGTTTTTCTTGATCACTAGATTCTTTTAATGTTACATACGAATTAAAAATAAACCCCAGAGAATAATCTGTAATCGTTACACGTGATAGTTTTGGACGGAATTAATCACTCTATACATACTAGAGTGAGCGAAACTGATTTCGTGAAATGATTCAGTTTAGGCCTACGAAATGGGCACGGAAGTAAAGTTTTATTACCATTGGGTTTCCATAACCATTGCATGGTTACATGGATCTCTTGAAAATGATGTATGCACACGGTGAGGTTTTGATAAAAATAAGTGGCAGTTTGTTATTGCAAACCATTTTGCAATAACAATGTTTATAAATTGGATTATGGTGTATCTTTTAGATCCATCCATTATCTCCCAGAAAAGTGTAAACTCTGATAATTGAATCCAGTTAGAATCAAATATGAAATGGGAATCGACCAATCTACATACTTAGATATATTTATTCCATTTTCACCTGGAGTACAATCAATCTTTAAACTATTTAATGTATTTTCATTTTGACGTATCAATCAGTCTTAAAAGGAAACTGAATTAGACTATTGGTGTTCTCAATGTTATTTCTCCGTATGGACAACTCATGTTATCCATCATTTTGTCATCTGTTTCTCCAATGTCCCTGGTCAAATTCATTTTTATTTTTAAGAAATAAATCAATGCAAGTCCAAGTCAAGTACAATTTGTTTTAAGCATTGGGACAAGATTGCGCCGTTTAGTCTAGTTGGTGTATATTAGCCAATCATTTTTGAAAAGGTATGTTGATGGCACGGTTGTCCCATCAATATCACAGAGTTTGAGTTACTTTATTATTATTGTATATTTTTTTATAAAAATAGTTCGTGAATTTAAAAGATATACCTTTCATCATGGTCAGAAAATATTCATAATACAAGTTATGCATCGTCTGAAACTGTGCGAAAACCTATGTGGCCTTTTAGTACGTTCCACGTCATCAGTTTAACGTGCCTTTTGGCACTAACATAAAAACGTATTTCCTAGAATGTATAGAAGTGGGGTGAAGCAGTAGACGTGATTCAAGCACTCTCACAACACAAACTATCATGCTATCATCAAAGGATAAAGTTATTATGTTTAGTGAGCTGCTCCGCACCCAATATTTAGAGGGGGCTCATATCTGAAGAACATTTCCTAATTTTTATAAAATCACACAGATACTGCCTGGCTTCCAAGATGCAAAAATAATTTGTATAGATAGTGTACCTTGAACACCATTTTTTATGAATGCTGGGGACTCAGTATTAAAAGGATAATTTCAAAATATATAGGTCTGGGAAAGGTTTAATGCACACTGCGTCGCTATAGAATGAATTGCGCTACTATTTTCACAATTGTATTGATATTTTGTATCAAATACACATATCTTGGTATATTTGAAGTCCCAAAACGGCTTAGTTTCAGAAATATCCCAAATTTAAATTCAAAAATGACCGTTAGCTCCGCACCCTCCGCTCATTTGCTCCGCACCCAATATTTCCCACAGGCTCTGTCTGCATAGGGTGTATTATGTTACATGTAGGTATATAAAAATGGTATTAACAATTAATCTAAGGATGTACAATGTAAAAATGTTACAAAAATCGGGTACCAGTATAAAATCAACAGTATAGTATGATATTGTTATTATACATTATCGATAGATGAGTAGTTTTTTATATGAAGATTTGAAAATATTTAGAGTGGAGCATTTTTTAATATCATGTGTTAGAGCATTCCAAAGATTAGGACCCAGATAGCGAAGGGAAAGTTTAGAGCATTTAGGGATATGAAAATAATGCAATTGTCTTGTGTAATGATGATGAATATTAATGTTGATATCAAACAAGTCTTGAAATAGATTTTTTGGAAGACTGGGGTGCTTATTAAAGATTTTGTACATGAACTGACCAGTACAATATCTGTTGACATCAAAAATAGTTAATATTCTAAGATCTTTAAATAGGGGAGCGGAGTGAGAAAGTCTATCCTTATTTAAAGCTAGCCTTAAGAATTGTTTCTGCAGTTTATGTAGACGATCATAAAATGATTTAAATGTGTTACCCCAGATTATGTTGCAATAATTTAATTGAGAGTGTATCAATGAGTAGTAAATTGTTTTGAAACTGTATATTTGAAGTAGATGTTTAATGTGATAAAGAGAACCAATGACGCGAGAAATCTTTGTTTCAACAGATTTTATGTGCTCTTTAAATTTCAAGTTTTTATCAATAATAATTCCAAGAAAGTCAATTTTTCCCGGAAAGTTATGTTCTCATTGCGTATTTTAAGATTCAGATTTGTTTGATTTTTTTGGGGTCCAAATAGAATAGCATTGGTTTTGCCAATATTAAGTGAAAGTTTGTTTGCTTTTATCCAGTCATCTATTGAATTCAAGTTTGCATTAGTTCTAGTCATAAGTTCATTTAAATCATAATCACTATCAAGAAGATTGGTGTCATCAGCAAACATAATAAATTTTAGATTAGGGGCAACAAAAGGCAGATCATTTATGTAAAGAATAAATAATAGTGGTCCAAGTACCGAGCCCTGCGGAACACCACAATTTAGAGATGATTGTTTAGATTCATAATTGTTAATGGTGACATATTGTTTGCGGTCTTTTAAATAACTTTCAAACCAGGACTTAGCTATTCCTCTGATGCCATAATATTCAAGTTTTTGTATCAAAATGTCATGATTAATTGTGTCAAAGGCCTTGGAAAAATCTAACGTTATGCCAATGCTCGTTTTCCCCAAATCAGTTGATTTTCGAATTTGTTCAATGAAATATAAAATGGCCATGTAGGTAGAGTTGAATTTCTGAAATCCAAATTGATAAGTAAAAATAATTTCAAAACGTTCTAAAAAACCAGTGAGTTTGGCGTGCATGAGCTTTTCTAACAATTTAGAAAATACAGATAAAACTGAAATTGGTCTATAGTTCGAAGGATTTGTAGTGACACCTTTTTTAAATACAGGTGTTACTTTGGCCAATTTGAGGGCGTCTGGGAAAATACCAGATTTAAAAGATAAGTTAAATATATACAAGAGTGGATCAATTAAAAACTGTCTTGCAGACTTAATAAGTGATGGTAGAATCCCATCAGGTCCAGGCGAGGAAGATTTTAGAAGACACATTTCTAATTCAAGCTCAGTTTTTGAGGTCTTTTTGAGATAAATAGATGATTGAACTTTTTGAGCTCTTGCTAGGTATTCATTAAAGCATTTTTTGGATTTTGGAATCTCCTTGGCTAGATTTTTACCAATATTGGTAAAAAAATTATTAAATCCATTGGAAATGATTTCATGATCTGTTGTTTCCTTTCCATTTATAGTGAATTTAGATGGCAATGCAGCTTTTTTGTTTTTTCCAAGTAGTTCATTAATGATAGACCAAGACTTTTTAATGTTACCACTTACTTCGGCAAACTTATTTTGATAATGTGTACGTTTTGAGTATTTAATTATGTGCTTAAGTTTATGGTTGAAGGACTTGTAAGCTTTTCCTGTTTTGCA